GATGTGGAAAAAGGAACACGAGAGCTTTTTAGTGTACAAAAACTAATTTTGATGGGATAAGATAGATAGTTCCGGATCGTAAGTTTTTTATGATGATCATTATCTTTACTCCTTTTGAGGATCTTGGGAACATTATTAATATTTTGATTGATATTTAACTATCTTATACATGGGTTTGCATCCCATTGATGCTTGTGATGAATCATACTTTATTTTTTTTATTTAAAACAATGGATTAGGAGTGACTTTGTTTTTTGAATTTTTTGAATATTATATTTTTGCGGAGCATACTTGTCACGCTAATGGACAAGTTACTTTTTATTGGTTATTTTGATCTACTACTGGTTGTGTCATTTTGATTGGTCATGACAATAGTAGATTGGGAAGATATTGGGGCTGTCATTGACCACATGTAATTTTGTGTTTTCGGGTAGTACCCCCTTGGTACTTTTGTGCATACTAATACTATTTCTCTTTTATTTAAAAAAAAAAAACTACTGGTTGTGTCATGGATATGAATAGCATGACAGGTGTCTTTTCTCACAGCAGGTGTCTTTTCTCTTTAAGTACGCTACCGCAAATGATCTCTAGTGTCTAAGCCAACCGTAATGGATTCGTGGCCACTTCAATATTTTCTTTTGGTAGCAATCCAGATCATTTTGTAACAAGTTTTTGTATTTTTTCTAAAAAACTGTTTTTTGTTCAGAAACAGAAACTTTTTTATGTTTCTTTTTATCTGGATGATTCTGTCAGTTAACAGTGTTTTTTGGTGGTTATTTAAATTTTAGTTAATGCCACAACCAACAAGAATGAAGAGGATTTAACTTGTCTTGGGTTATGAAAAAGTTAAAGTTTGTGCTCTTTCACATACACAAGATGAGAGAGTTTACAATGGAGTTTCAAAGCTAGCAGCTTATGACTTTCTTTTCCATATTTCAACCGATTTATTTTTGCTTGCTTCTTTTTCCTAACATTGCAGTAACTGGATAGAAAGTACTTAGCAGGGACATTTAGTGATGATGAGATGAACATGAGAAGAAAATGTAGGATTTGGTGGCCAGATCAGCTTTCATCAACCGACCCATCTTCCTGCAGTCTCTTGTTTGGGTGGTTCATCTGTTGTTCTTCAACTTCTCTTGATGTTGTAGTAGCCGTTGAATCTAGTGATGTCTCCTTGGCTCGGTGCCAATCTGGTCTCCGGGTACGAATCACTTCTAACTCTTTTGTTATTGTGTTAGTATAATGATTCTACAGGTTTACATATACATTAGAGCTTATACTTCTGACTGTATATATTGATCAAAGGCTTTTGCCCCAGCATTTGGTGGCAGTTGGTGCATAGCCTGTGCCCTGCCTGAATCGTGGGATTTATAGAGCCCCTAGAAAGGATGCAAAATAAAGAAAGCTGTTATTTGTCTACTGATATTACTTCTGCTAGTGGTCAATAGGCAATTAACTTTAATCATGTGACCAAAATTCTCTATAAAGTCATTTTTGGCATTCTTCCTGCTATTTGAAGAGATGTTATCTGCTGCATATATCTGACAATTCACGAATCTCCAATGATCAGGACATCCTCCAAGAAACTGATGGAAAAATGCCAGTATTTCTACAGGAGAAATCAACATTTTCTTTGCTTGGTCAGTGTGCTGCTCATTTGCACAGTAATGACAAGTTGTTGAAAGTTG